TTTTCCCTCCAAATTACAATTTTTTTCTCCTCTAAATCTTTCTTTCCAACCAAACACGCCGAAGTGGTGTGAAAATGAGAGAAAATACATCTTCCACTATTGTAATTATTTAATTATGTGGGGGCATCCCTTGCAAATTGCAATGAGTTGAGTCAACATTATTTTAGCAACTTTGAGAAATATCGAGATCATTCCGATGCCTAGCTAGCTCTGATGCACCTTTTTTGTGCTTAACACCACCTATTCCCAACCTTATTATCTTTTTTAATTTTTATGACAGAGATAATTGAACTGGATTCTAACTGAAATATTAACGACGACTATACAACGTAGGCGTGTTCTGTATTGTATCTGTTACATATCCTTAATTGTTTCGTTAAAAAGTTGTATTTGTTAAATGTTGTGTGTCTAGTGTGTGCAGGATAATAGTTGTCTCGTGCAGATTTAAAACACCAGCAAAAACACAAAACAATTGGGAGGATTATGGTTGGGACGAAACCAAAATACAAAACAACAACGTTGTTGGATTCATTAAATTAAAATTAAGCAAGCAGGCCAACCAGGTTTAGACAAACGTGAATACAATGTAGTGGGCGATCGAAGAGAGATCGAGGAGCCGAGGGAAGGGGTGGTATGCTGTCTATTACGGCTTTGCGTTTGAAATGGTGAGACTGTTTCATTACAACAATCGCTCTCAAAATCATGTTTTGATATTTAGTATTTGGAGCAGTTTCATTGTTCCCAATTTTTTAGTATAAATTTTCACTAAATCCATAACAGATTGTTCAAAGCATTAGAGACATACATACTCTTGTTAATGGTTACAATTCATAAATTAATTTTAGAGAAAATTACATTTTTGTCTCTAAATTATATAGTAAAATGTAAGATTTATCCATACTTGTTGCAAATTTCGATCTTTTGTTTTTCTTCAACCAGAACTTAGGGACAAAAGTGAGAATGGCTTGTTAAAAAAATAAAATTTACAATATTAATTACGGAGTATAATTTATGGGCAATAAGTTAGCATGACCAACAAGTAATGACAAATCCTATAATTACTCTATAACTTAAAGACTAAAAATGTTATTTTCTCTCAATTTACAAGGATAAAAATGTCATTTTCCGAATCAATAAATAAATGTGATTTATAATAACTATAACATTACAAAGTTCGACTCAAAGTGAGTATGAATGTAAAATTTATTGACATTCTTAGTTTGAATCAATCAACTATGAATAATGTAAACTGATTTATCTGATCATTTATTAATTAGCGTCTCAATAAAAAAAATTATCTTATCCAAGACCCTATTTGGTAAAATAGTTAGTTTATAAGTCAATTTTAGCTTATTTGACAACTATTAACTTTTTGACTTAATTAAAAAATTAATATAAGTATTTGATTAATTTTTGTTAACTTCAAAATGCTAAAATTTAAAAAGTTACTCAAAACAACATTTTTAATTAGTTTTTTGATAAAAGAAATTATATCAAACAGCTAACAGCTAATTTACCAAACATCTTTCTACCATCAGTTAATATTATTAATTAGTTATACCATTTAATTAACACAATCAATTAACAGTTATCTGCGATTTATCAAACATGACCAAATCTTTAAAAAAAATGGTTATAAATTTCCTCATTTCTCAAATGAATGTGATTTGAGATATGTTGGGAAGGTGTGGTGATTGGTGAGGCATGAGGGTGGGGACAAGGACAAGAGGAGAGGAGTCGGGGGAGTGGAAAAAATCGAGGAGAGAGGTGAGAAACTCAGTTCCCAAAAATGCAACGTAGTGTTTGACATTTTGCTTTCAACGGCATCATTATCTCCTCAGCTTTTCCACCCCCCGCTTTTTCCCCTTCTTCTTCTTTTGTAACTTTCTTCTCTCTCCCTTTCCATCTGTTTGACTCTTGTGCCCTTTCCCCATTCCCACCCCCACCCGGGCCCCCCTACTATACTATACTATACAAACTATGCATTGGAATTGGAACGTGTGAAAAAGCCTATGCACATACTTTTAATACTCGCATCTTTGGGCTTGTAAAACACTATTTATTTATTTTCTTTTAATAAATTAGGGGGCTACAGAATTCCTTATTTTATGTATCACTGCATGTGCCAATGATATATTCATTATTTCAAGAACTAATTCATGAAATTAGTTTAAAATTCTTAATTTGATTCTCATTATTTAAATTTAGTTATCCAATTATTTTTACTCCTTTATCTTATTTATATGTTTAGTTTGCTTAATGAAAGTTTACTTGAGTAATATACAATGCAAATTTTTATAATATATTTATAATAAATTTTAGACGAAAGTTAACTTGACTAATATACATATAACTTGAGATAGATGTTTATTAATTGGGTAATACTACATTGACCAAAAAAATTTAGAAAAAATTTTAACATTTGACATGACAATATATAATTCATATTTGATTAATAAGTAGATTCATTTGTTAACCTGAGATATGATTGATAAATTTAGAATAATTAATGAATAAAAGTAATTTTATTGACGAGTTAATTTCACCAGAGTTCTCTTGTCTTTTGTGACAATTTCAAATTTAGCCCCAGATTATCATTTCTGTCATTTAACATTCCAGTTTATTATTTTTTAGACACTTTTAGTCATTCTCATGACTTTTTTTTTTTTTTTAGTAAAGACATTTTTGTCTTTTCATATTTTTCTTTTGTTATTTTTTTGATTTTAACCGATTTAATTGGTTCAGAACTTTACTAAACACCAGTTGAAAATACGTTTACTACAAATTAGAGGTTACCTAAAGTTCTAAACCAATTAAACCGATTGAAATCGGAAAATTAACAAAAGAAAAAAATGAATAGACAAAAATACCCTTACTAAAAATAGAAAATATCATGAAAAAGACTAAAAGTGTCTAAAAAAATAATAGTCTGTGATTTTAAATGACAAAAACAATACTCTAAGATTAAATTTGAAATTGTCACCGAAAGACAAAAAAACTTCTGGTGGAATTAACTCTTTTATTGATGTTGAAAACTTTTATTCTACGTGGATTATTTTTTTATTTTTTTATTTTTGAAAAATCTGTTGTGAATAGTAATATTGGCTTCTTTTCCCTTTTTTGTTGTCTGATTTATTTTAATTTGAACGGATTAAAATATCCACGCGGCACGCTATTAAAGGTAAAAAAAAAAAACATCCATAGAACTATAGAAGTGGTTGGGTTTCAAAATAAAAAAGTAAAAGAAAAGTGATAGTAACTATTGTACTCCGTAGCAAGTAAACTCCAAAAGTTACGAGTCTTTTTGGCTTATCGTCTGGTCTGACTTGCACCTCACACTGTTAAAGTAGCACGTCGCACGTGCAGAGATGGTCACACGAATTTAAGTATTTCGTGGTCTAATGATATTTACCATTTCAAATGAAAAGTCATAGATTGACATAATCAATTGAATAACTATAGAAGTATTCACACCTGTACTCTTCCCAATCTGTAATGTATCCGAAACCCTATAACGTTGATGGAGTAACGCATTAATCATGTTGCTGCATCCGAGTTTCAAACATGTTTTGTGTAGTTTGGCAATAAGTTGTTATACCATGTACTGTCTTGCAAGGTGAATCTTGATCCTAAACGACGTATAAAATATATATTTTTAGTATGGAATAAGGGTCAAATTAGCCATCGAACGTAACGTAAAAATGCAATTTGATCACTCAACTAAAAAAAAAAGTGCAATCAGACCATTCAACATAGTAAAATCATGTAATTTGTCCCAAGTGACCTGCAGTGGTAGGTTACCAACAAGTAATTGATTAAAATTTTAAAAAAGAATTAAAAATTATTTCAAAACAAAAGAAAAAAGAAACCATAGAGGGGACAACTGGTTTCGGCGAGGCAGAGCAGGTGGCAGTGGATGACGAGTGTCTCCCGACGAGGTGAGGCAGTGCACAGTAGCGGTAGTTCGACGTAGGCAGTTTCTGGCGGAGCAGTGGTTCTCGTCGGCAACAGCATCCACACAGCAATTACAGCTATGGTTTCTCCTCTAGCGAAGGCTTGATGCGGTGACCTCTGGTCTTCTTCTGGTCCGGCTGTTCTGCAAATCGCTGATTGGCTGGCGTTGCGACAGCGGACGGTGGGCGGCAACCACGAGGCGAATGGCGACGGCGATAGCAGTAGGATGTTCGCCCATGGCGGTGGTGCTAATCCGATCTCCGGCTCGGCTCGGGGTGGTAGCGCTGATGGCGGTGTTTTGGGTAGGAGAGAAGGCGGAGTGTTCTATGGTGGCAAAGCTTTCAGTCGGTGACCATGGCTGTCAGCGTCTGTCTCTCTCTCATTGTTTCCGTTGCATCGGTCTTTAGTCTCAGATCCAAGGAGACGATCTTCTTTTTTCTTTTTTATTTTTTTATTTTAATTTTAACTAATTACCTGTTGGTAACCTGCTACTGCAGGTCACTTGGGACAAATTGCATGATTTTACAATGTTGAATGACCTGATTGCACTTTTTTTTAGTTGAGTGGTTCAATTGCATTTTCACGTTACGTTCGATTGCTAATTTGACCCTTATTCCTTTTAGTATTAAAATTATGAACTTCTAGAATATAAATTGTGTTTTTAAGTCAAAACACGTAACAGTTGTAGAAAGAATTTGTGAATACAATACATGGTCATCAGAATCTTAATCTGTTAATATTGTGTGACTACAGTATTTGAAAGAACTTGTGAATACAAAATAAGATAATCAATTACATATATGTTAACATTATATATTCGTAGTATACAAATTGTGAATTTTTAAAAGGTAAATTGTTAACATTTGGATCCGAGTCAAGATGGATCCCGGATCCATAGAATAATTTGCGGTTTGTGCAATGGCTTGAACTAATGGGCTAGTGGTAATATATGGAGGGTATTCGTAAGTTTGGGCCCAAGAGACCCAATGGCCCGACATCTATAGCTGGCCCAATTCAAATTTTCACAGTGACAGTTCGTTCACCTACATGCAGTAACAGAGAAAGGAATCCGGCGAAACTTGCCGCCAGGGGATACCGGGAAACGGCTTTCAGAATTCCTTTCCTCCAGCTTTGCCGGTAGGATAACATTTCCTATTGTGTTGTTGTTCGGAGAATGAAATCTTCTTCATAATCTGCGATGTTTCTTTCAGGCTCTGTTGATTGATTACCTTGTCATTTCTGTACTGATACGGAGTAGTTTTGCTCCGGTTTATTTGTTTATTTTATGATAGCTTTCATATTTAATCGTGTTTGATAGGCATTAATATGTATTCAACTGTATAACCACTGAAATTTTGAATTTCGTTTTAGCCACCAATTTAATTTGGACGAGTCGAGTTAGTCTTCCACTCCATGATTACTGTGCATCTTATGAAGTTTTCATATTTTGTTTTCCATTTTTTCTTCTAGTTCCTCAAAGAGTAAGTTTGGAATTTCAGGGAAATGCTATTCAGGTTCAATTCATATGTGATGTTAACAACATGGTCATACATGAGATGATATAATTAGTGTCAGAGGAGAGTTGAAACTTGAAACACACAAGTGATAAAAATGAGAATGGCTAAAAGAATAGTGAGTGGTAGGGCTTTTTTGGGACAGACATGGGCTAGAACCAGCATTCTATTTCCATCACTGTCCAGGGCGATGAGTACATTGGGTTCCTCAATATTGAAGTCTCCCCCTCTGGTTTCCCTTGATCAGCATGATGAGTGGTCTCATGGCTTTAGTCACCCTGATAATGCACCTACCCAGAAATGTACTGGTAAGCAGCTTAAACTCCCCCAGACACATGCTTTGCTTTTTGGTTCACAAGCTAGTAAATTCCTTATCATTTTATGTTTTTGATAACCTGTGCCCTAATTGATTTGTTGTGATTTTTTTCTCTAATTTAATGATATTTCAGAAACTTGTAATGATTGGAATAAGATGAGAGCAAATTTCTCTAGATTGATTGGATAAAGTCTGATTCGTATCCTTTGAAGTTAAAATGGATTGATTTTCGTTTTGAGCTAGGTTCTACGATATTTTTGATTGGCTAAATGGAGAATTAAAACAAGATTTATTTGACTCTAAAATAAGTGAATGGAGTGTTACAGGAAGAGTAAAGAAGTAGAAAAACTAGAAAACAAGTTAAACAACTTCTTCATTTGACATTTACTCCTCTTTACAGATAATAAGACTGTTAGAATAATTGATGGCAAGTCAATTGCTGATGAAATTAGATTAGGAATAGCCATTGAAGTGAGCAGGATGAAAGAATCCATTGGGAAGGTTCCTAGCTTAGCTGTGATATTGGTAGGACAAAGAAGAGACTCCCTTACCTATGTGCGCAACAAAATATTGGCTTGTGAAGAGGCTGGGTTCAGATTTTCATTGGATCATCTGCCTGAAAACTGTACAGAAGAGGAAATTTGTGATAAATTATCAAGCTTTAATGATGATCCGTCAATCCATGGCATTCTTGTACAGCTTCCTTTGCCACAGGTAATACATTAACTGAGTAAGGACTTGTTTGATCTATGCTAGTACTTTGGACACTGAGTTCCCATTTTCAACAGTATACATCGTTGACCAAGGTCTAGTCTGTTGCTTTTTAGAGTAGAATCCTAGATGCCATACATTTATTTAAGTTGGCTGTTTTGCCCCAAGACATTCTTGATAATCAAATAATCTTCGCAGTATGTGCATTTTCTACTGGCTACTAGTTGACTAGGTGTTGCAATTAGATGGGAAGTCTAAGAAGTGTTATATCAAGTAGATCTAGTAAGTTTCACTTCTTTGTTCATTGAGTGCGGTTGGGTGCTGGTTACTAACTATAGGTGATTGGAACAGCATTTGAACAAGGAAAAGATACTGAATATGCTAAGCCTAGAAAAAGATGTGGACGGCTTCCATCCACTCAACATGGGAAATTTGGCTGTACAGGGAAAAGAGCCTTTGTTCATCCCATGTACCCCTAAAGGCTGCATTGAATTACTGCTTAGGTCTGGTGTGGAAATAATGGGCAAGAAGGCTGTGGTGATTGGAAGAAGTAATATTGTTGGATTGCCCATGTTTTTGTTGTTGCAGGTGATGCAATGTTTATATGCCTATCATTATTGCTCCTTTTCTCTGGCTAAATCTTGTGTTGGATTATAATGCCACTCAATTTATTTCTAATTGTTTGGCAGAGGCACCATGCTACAGTTACCATTGTCCATGCATTTTCAAACAACCCAGAAATCATTGCCCGTGAAGCTGATATTTTAATTGCAGCCGCAGGAGTGCCTAATCTGGTTCGGGGCAGTTGGTTAAAGCCTGGTGCAGTTGTTATTGATGTTGGCACTACTCCTATAGAGGTAATCTTCAAAGGTCTATCTAAGGCCTAAACCATTATGGTAGTTAATATGAGTGAGCTGGTAATAATTAGTTGGAACTTTGATTATATTCATCTATAATATGAAATAGTTCTATCTGCATTCTGCATACAGAAAAATACTGCTAAACATTGTATGTAAATTGGTGTAGGATCCAGAGAGTGAGCATGGCTACAGGCTAATCGGTGATGTTTGCTTTGAAGAAGCAGTGAGAGTAGCTTCTGCAATAACCCCTGTACCTGGAGGAGTAGGACCTGTAACAGTTGCAATGCTGCTTCTCAACACTCTTGAATCTGCCAAACGTGTACTTAGATTCTCTTGATTGAAAACTATTTTATATGTGCTTCCTGGGCTATCCCTTTTGTACCTTAAACGTTGGTGCCTGATGTTTGCTTTCCAATTCTACTAATTAGAAAACTTTTTCAATGAGGAGTTGAGGTCTGGGTATCATTTATATTTACTATATATTAATAGCAATACCAAGACTAAAAGATGACTGTCAATATAAATAGGTAAATTAATCATTTTGGTAATTATTTGTAATTGGCTAGTTCCCTATACCCTAAGATAAATTGGTAGAATGAAATCCAATTATCAGGCAAGAAAAAGATGGACTCAGACAGGTTGCTCAAAGAATGTGAACAATAGTCACATGTTCTGACTAGCTGGCTGATTGGAGGGTTGGTGCTTGGCTTCCAGCTTGCTTAACCGGAGGCAGTGTCAAACTCGAGAAGAGGTGAATTAGGGTGCACATGTATTGCTTTTTCTACATGATGCAATCAAGCTTGACCTATCGGCAATCAATCAGTCAGCCAAAATCACCACCAAGGCCCTCCCTCCACTTCTTGACAAGAGGTTCATTTATTTTCTTCCTGCATTTTCAGTTTTTTCTGAACTTGTTTGTGCTTTCATTCCCTGGTGAAACCATTCTATAATCTGAACTGGAACAGGGTTAGATCCTATATTTCTCTTTACCCAATGGAAACCCCTTCTAGGAACTGCATGTATATGCTTAACTAATTTACTCTATTATTTTCTTGAGCTGAAATCATACTGTGTTTTCCTTGGTGGAAAATTATAATGTTGTCTATGTACTGAAATCATAGTGCTTGCATGGGCTTGAACAACAGCATTGATACTCTCTTACCAAATGTGGACATATAATTTATGCTTGTATACTTTGTAGGATGATTATGGTTGAAGTGGGTGGATGAAGTATTAATGGTTTGGGGGCTGATGCTTATGCCTTTACCAAGGGTGTTTGGTAGCTACAAACACCTCAAGTGTAGAGGTGTATCAGGCACAGATATCATTGGTACCTCCAACTTTGCATTTCAAGTATTCACAACCTCATCTCCCTCCAAAAAAAAAAAAAAAAGAATAAGACACCTCGCACCCACCAGAAAGAGAATAAAAAAAAGGAAGAGAAACATTACCTACATGTGTCCATTAGTGATACTCAGAAAGGTTTTGTTATTTTTCAGATGGATTTTTCCCTTCACATTGTTAATTATTAGCATTCACATCATCAATAGTGATTTTCAGAAATTCCATTGTGGGGACCTGAACCTGATAATTTATATTGATTGATGGTGCATTTGATTTCAAGTATTACATTCAGGTTGGTATCCTAAACTTCTTTATTCATAATTAACATAAATCTCTTTTTGCCAAGGGACTATATGTTTAGGAGAAAAATGAAAGTGAATTATATTTTATGTCCTATAAAATTAGTAATTTCTTAAAATGATGCTTCTGCAGTTAATATATAACTCTTAATTTTCATTATAGTCACCCCATACACAGATTTATGTAAGCTGGTGATAGCTTCTAGCCTTCTATAGTTAGTGGCTTAGCATTATTTTGTCGTTATTGAGTCAATCACAGGGAATGCTTAATGGCTGACATGATAACATCAGATGCTCTATTCATCTGTCATCACAACTCTTTCAAAGTTGAACTGTGTTGTAGATAACAACCTTTAATTACTAATCCGTATTTAATTGTCCATTGGAGGACAACTGAGGATTGTGAGTTTGAGAAGGTACTATGAGAGTACTACTGATTTTTTATATGGATGAACTACACTCACTAGTGATCTTGATTTTGCATATTCAATAATCATTTAATTTCAAGTTTGCTTTTGTTGATGATATCATTGATTTTTCAGGAAAAAAAGGGCGTTTTTTTAAAATACAAGTACCAAAAAGTCCTTTAGACATTACAACTAGCACAATATCATTGAGTGGAGTATCAAATCATGAGGCTTACTAGGTGTAACTTTCTTTCAGAGTATATATCTGAGAGGCTTGGTAAGACTTGTATCTGTTAATGATCAATGGAAGCAATTTTATTGAAGATCCTAGGTACACTCTGCATTGTTTTTGGTACTTTGGTTATAACTTTTTTAAAGCTGCAGCAGTCTTTTGGTTTATATCTGCATCTGGCATCTCTGTTGTTGTTAGTAAGCATGCAGTTTTGATCCTAGTTGTCATATTAAAATAGAGAAATGATATGTAGTAGTAGCGCTGTAAACATTTTCATGTTGTAATCATAGGTGGCTGCTTTTATGAAATTTTTAGTTCTTTCAGGGGCAAGAATGAAAGCCCCCACCCCTCCTCCTTTCGGGGTTTGCGTTAGCCCAGTTAAGTCTGAACCAAGTTTGTGTTAGCCCAGGAAAGTTTGTGTGTGTGTGTGTGTTCTTCACTATGAAGTCAGAATAATGTTGAACAGAATTCAATCTTGATCCTACTCTTCCAATTAGTTTTGATAAACCAATCATCAGGTATATGATTGCGGTATGTACGCCGGTTTGGTATATCAGCAAACTTCAATAAACAAAACCTTTTGTCTTTCAGTTTTTCTATAATTCATCAGATTATAACATAAAATACTCTTGTATACATCTGAATTTCCTCAGGAGCTCAGAACCTATTGAGGAACACTATCTATGTACTACTATTCATTTTCCTTTCTTTATAAACTTCTTTTCATGCTTTCCTGAAATTGTACCAGACATGTACTACTTGTTAGTATGCAACAATCATTTGTATGATGGCTAGACAGCACAGGAGGTGCAGTTGCAAGTCTTGGGCACAAAAGCGCAGACTCCAAAAGGCTTGTTTGGAAGCTGGCAGTCAATACCGAAGCAGCAAGGCATGGTAGAGCAGGTGTTCGGGTCTGCAGCTGACACACAACACTTGCACGCCAAACACAGCTGGAAAGGCGCCAACCGCCTCCTCCCGGCTGATTCCATGTCAACTCTGAACTCCGGGATGGTGGTCAATGGCTGCAGCTGTATTCCGGCCACTCCCGGTGATTCTGATGGCTCATCATCAACTGCATGAGATTGAGAGGATCCTGCATGCACAGTTACAAGTAACAACACTCTTTAGTTTTACACATATACTAACACCATATGTAATCGTGAACGAATTGAATACTTTTTTGCAGGAAATCAAATTAATTAAGCTCACCTTCAAGCATAACCAGGTGGAAGATGAAGAGGAGCAGTAATAAGAAGAGGATTAGGATTGGATCTTTGGCACGCTTGAGACCTGATTGATGATTCATGGTTTTGGTTTGGCAGAGAGAAAAGAGGGACTGAGAAAATTAAAGATTGAAGAATTTGTGTGGTGGAAATGGAGCATGAAGAAGAATGAATATTGGATGGGAGTGGGGTGGGTGAGTGGGTCAAGGGTTTGGGGTATTTGGCATTTTGGCCCTTCCAACACACACTGAGAGGGAATAAGCCTATGAAAGAGCGAGTTTATGCCCTCAGACCAAAGATTCGCTCCAACCATGCAACACGTCATCGGTTTATCATATTCCCAACTTGCTAAAGTAGAATATTGGTACAGTATTATATTCCCTCTTCCTTAATCTACTAATCTGATTTTTTTTTTATTCAGCATAACTAATCCATGTCTTATTAACTCTTTAATTAACTTGAAACCCCACAACTCGGGTCACGACACGCATGGAGGTGAGAGGATTCGTATCATCCTTTATAATTTTATTTTTGTTGAGATTGTCGTTTCATATTTTTCCTTTATATTTTAGACGACATGTGTAAAGAGAATGATCAGTTATACCATTCATACATTATTTTAAAATAATTGTAATAACATTTTTAATTAGCATTTTAAATATTTTTCATACTCCCATCAGGAGCGGACCCATAAATTTTTCTAAGTGGGGACGAAGTTCAATGAGCCAAGCAAGACACTGAAGACACCTAACACGGGGAGAGGCAAGGCAGTGCCCTTGGCTGTGCCAATTACCACCCGTGCCCCAAGGATATTGGCACAGCCATGTAAAACGAGGTAGTGAGCAGCATTTTTTAGGTATATTTTGACACGGGGTTGTGTTATTGCGCAACTTTTTTCTCCTATTCTGCACGTGTGTGCGTGTCCTGAACTTGGTGATTAGTTCATTGTTGAAGAATAAGGTGGAAAAATGCAAATTGAAAACCTATGTGGTTGCAACCCTAAACGGTCCGCGAATAGGGTTGCTCATTTGTTTGCTCGGGAAGCCCTATCCAAGCCTGATTGTTCGGACAGTTTCCATGCCCCTTTTCCCTTTATTTCTGATATTCTGAATTCGGATCTTAATTAATATAGTCTTTCGTTTTCTCTCAAAAAAAAAAAAAAAAAAAAAAGTGGTTGCATCCCTACATAGACCATGTACCAAAACTACTTATTTGTCTCTGCATGCCGACACACCTCACTTCCATGCTCTCACTTGAACACCAGCTAACCCTTCCAAGTTCGAATGTTGTTTTGCTGACAATGAGACCATGAAAGCTTGGATTAGTTCACATTACGGACCAAAATTGGTCAACTTTTATATGGTTTACTTGTAATATGCCACCATGCATAATGCATATATTGCATTTGCTCTGCCGAGCTAATGTAATCGTTTATAGTGCTGAAAGTAATTTCGAAAGGCATTCTCATTGGTTGGAATTTCTTCTTTGTTTATTTGTAGATCTTAAGCGCATCCATATCAATTAGAAATTTATATAATTTTTTAGGTAACATGTATGAAGGATAAAAATAGAAGAGAAAAAGAAAAGTAAAATAATAATAATATTATTATGACAATTTTTTTTTAAAGGAAAGTAAACGTTGTGGCGTCAGAGTGGCCGCCAGCTGGAGACCACTCTAACGCGCCCGCTGTGGGCGCACAGCTGGCAACCACTCTGACGCGCCCGCTGTTGGCGCAAAGTGCGCCTAATGCGCAATATAGCGCTTTAAAAAAAAATATCTTGCAAAAAATCTTATTTTGCTAGAGAAAGAATTTACTTAAAAACATTTTATCCCATCAACCAAAAACCTTGTTACTGTTCCAAAATTCACGAAAAAAAAACATTGGTGTGGATGCTCTAACAGTCCACATCAACCTCCTACTATCTAAAAAAACTCCCCATTTAGTTTTTGAAAATTTTTTCTTCCATTTTATGTGAAATGGAAAAAAAAAATATAAATCATGTTCTTAGGATTTGAAAAATAATTTTTCTTTTTTCAATTTTTTTAAATACAAAAGCACACATAACTTTATTAGTCGCAATTATTATTGCCTATAAACTTCTACTTCACTTATTTGTTTACTCATATAATCTATCCAACTACCTTTTATATGCCTCTATCACCTCCCTTATACAAACTCTGTTTTAATATATTCCATCAATATTTTCTTGTGTTTTAATCCATATCATATTTTGCCCCCAAAATTTTGACGAATCCTCCATTTTAGACGTTTTGACTTAGTCAAAACACAAAAAATCTTGTTTGGTAACTCAACAATTTAGAGCAACATTTTGCTTCAAATCACTAAAATCCCAAACGTTGCTTTTAGCAAAGTTGGTGTTGTCATTTTGGTGAAAATTACATTTCTCCAAAACACTCTCTTCTATATTATAAATAAATAAAAGTTCAATACTAATAAAGAAGTAGCCTAAAGCTCATTTAATAAAAGAGTATTAGGCTCTTCTTCCCCTGCCAATCCGATGAACATCAAATCAATGGGCAAGGGGTGAAAAATAAGGGGGCGTTGAGCTCCGTCCTCTTATAGAGGAGTTTAACGCTGCTCAATACCTTCATCATTCGATGTTGGATAAAAAATACTCCATATATTTTTGGTTTTTTTTTTTTTTGTTTTGTTTTTGTTTTTGTTGTTGTTATTGTTATTATTATTATTGTTGTCGTCATCCTCATATTGTTACTATTTATTTTTCATTTTATTATTAATATTAATATTATTATTGTTATTGTTATTATTACTGATGCCTTTATTTTTTTTTATACGGAGTATCTTTTTACCTGTTAATCGCTAATAGTAAACAAATAATCTTACAAAATATTTCTTTATAAACCGCTAAAATAATATGTCTGTCAAAACCGCAGACACAATCCAATAGCCATTAATTGCCAAACAAAACCATTAATAGATGAAAAATAAATGAGTAGTATAAATGTAGTGAAAATGGTCAAATACACTTCCGAATTTTATATGAAAAGTTAATTAAGCCATCAAACTTTTAAAAGTTACAATTAAGCACATCAACATTTGAATTTAGTGAATTGAAACCCAAAAAATGAATAGTAGTGACCTATAATAGCAGGTCGCTGGGGTTCCGACGATGTTCCAACAACCTTTGGAAAAAAAAATCAACGACCGACGACTTAGAAACGGTCGTCGGTCGCATTCTTTGACATTGTCGGAACATTGACGGAACCTATAGTGACTTATACCTATTATATGTCACTATTTGAGTTTTGGGCTTCAATGCACTAAATTGACATGTTGATGTGTTTAATTATAACTTTTAAAAGTTTAAAAGTTTAATTGTCTTATTATATAAAGTTTGGGAAGAGCAATACTAATTTTGGTCTCACGAGTATTAGCAAAATGACAGTTTTGGTCCAAATGTTTAATTCCTATCAATTTTAAGACTATTATTTTAGTATCAATTTTTTTCCACAACTATTGTTTTAGTGTCAAAATTTATCACGCCGATCACCCATTCGTTTAAAACATGTTGAAATATGAAATTATTAAATGTATTTTTGTCATTTTTCAAATTAAAATCTCAATTTGAACATAAATAAAAAGGATTTAAGTTTTAAGATCGATCCCAATTCACAATTCTCCTCCTCAAATTAAGATAGAATGAGGAGGAAAATTGCGAATTGAGATCGATCTTAGGACTGAAATCTCTTTATTCATAATCAAATTGGGATCTTAAGTTAAAAAAAAAAAACAAAATTACCCTTGAAAATTTTGGAACTGGCGACATGTCTTAAAAGGAAGAGTGCCTGTCGTGATGAATTTTGGCACTAAAAAAATATAATCGCGGATGAAAATTGGTACTAAAACAATAGTCATGGATGAAAATTGGTAAGAATTAAACATGTGGACCAAAACTATCACTTTATTAATACTTGTGGAACTAAAATTGGTATTTGATTTTGGGAATGTATTTGACATTTTTCCCATAAATTTATTCCTATATACGGAGTAATATGATACTCCGTGGGAATTTGGGCGTGACCAGTAGAAGCACGTGAGGTCAGGATTCAAATTTGAAAACGAAGAGAGGGAAGCACGTGCCAATCATAGTATCAGTTACCCCAAACGCTCCCTCGCCCCGTCCAAAATCCTCAAAATTTTGAATTGAAATTCGTCAGTCGATCGGAAGAAACAGAGAGTGAGAGAGAGAAAAATCTTCTTTCAAGTTTCAAGTTCCACCGCGAAGAAGAAGAAGAGCCGCAGGGAAATGGAGAAATACGAGAAGCTGGAGAAGGTGGGCGAAGGTACGTACGGGAAGGTGTACAAGGCGAAGGACAAGGCGACGGGACAGCTGGTGGCTCTGAAGAAGACGCGCCTGGAAATGGACGAGGAGGGGATCCCTCCGACGGCTCTCCGTGAGGTTTCGCTTCTCCAGATGCTCTCCAACTCTCTCTACATCGTCCGCCTCCTCTGCGTCGAGCACGTCGACAAGAAAGGAAAGCCTCTGCTTTACCTCGTCTTTGAGTATCTCGACACCGATCTCAAGAAATACATTGATTCCCACCGCAAAGGCCCAAACCCTAGGCCTCTCCCGCCTACCCTCATCCAAAGCTTCCTCTATCAGTTGTGCAAGGGCGTTGCTCACTGCCACAGCCACGGTGTTCTCCATAGGTATTTGATTCGATTTGATCTTCCCGTTTGGATTGATTTTTCACTGCTGTGTTTGATGGTTCTTCGTTTCCCGTTTCAGAGATCTCAAGCCCCAGAACCTTTTGGTCGACAAGGACAAGGGTATACTCAAGATTGCCGATCTCGGTCTTGGAAGGTCTTTCACTGTGCCCCTCAAGAGCTACACTCATGAGGTTCGTTATTTTCTGATCCCACTGCCTCCTGATCTCTCAACAACAGTGCTATCTTACAGTTGTTTGTTTGTTTCGAATCAGATTGTGACCCTATGGTACAGAGCCCCGGAAGTGCTATTGGGATCCACTCATTACTCGACTGCAGTTGATATGTGGTCTGTTGGTTGTATTTTCGGTAAGCTTTATTGAGTTTCCAGTCTCCTTGTTCATAACGGGTCAAAAGTCCAGTGATTAGTAGGGCATATGATGCCATTCTGGCACTTGATTGTTGATTCTTTGATACGGAACTCAAACCAAAACCCTAACTTTACCACAAGAGCTAGCTAGCTCGTGAGTGGAGGTTAAGTACTACTCCACAAGTTAGATGTGGGATCGTATCATTCTTCAAATTTACTTGCAATGGTTTTATGAGTTGTGGCTAAATAATGGTTTTGAGGCCATTTAAGCTGTATATATTCCAGGATTAATTCTGCCCTTCAGTTGATTGACTGATTGATCATGAAAGAATTGTAAACACTTTTGCTTCCCTCTACAACCTTAATGGGATTGACTGATTGCTCTTTTTGATGCACAAAACTTCCATGTTGTCAATTACCGCACTGTGATCTTATTATCCATTGTTCCACAAAGCTTCATTGAGATTTTGCCCAACCAGAACAGTTGTTTCTGAAAGGACATTTCTCATGTGTTAGCTTATTATTTTATCGTCTCTTGTTGCTTAATATTCTGGTTCTTGTGCAGCTGAGATGGTAAGGAAACAAGCATTATTCCCTGGGGATTCTGAATTTCAGCAACTGCTTCACATATTCAGGTTTCAGTACTAAAATGGAATTGGTCTGCAGTTCCTTGTGTTCTTTTCACTTTATTCTCTTCCAAAACACATTGCTTAATAACTGCAAAACTAGCATTGTTGCTACTATTATTTCAGCTTGTATTAAGACATCAGTACATCATTCCTAATGGTGAATCGGTGATCTATACCTATACTTGTTGCATCTTGTTTAGTCTTAAATATGAATATGGATATGGAAACAATTTTTGAGCAGACTAATAGATGCCAAAAACTTCTATTAGATTCTAGACAGATAAGTTGATTCTTGTTGGTGGGGTTCTATTAGGAGTTAGTTCTATTTGGACTCATTTTTTGTCCACAAAAGGTGAAATTCTCTCTCCCCTAGGGCCCTAACACTCTGGCCTGACATAATAGTGGAGGAGTAAATTATGGTGCCCATTAAGTAGAAGGACCAGTGCTATTTGGACTCTTTTAAAAAAAAAAAAAAATAATTGTCCTAGTGTCCTTGTACACCTAAGTAGCTCTGAAATGACATCAAGAATTGTCCCTAATTATCCCTAGATCAGGAGTTGTAATGTCAATTATTAATGAAGTAGTAGCACTTGCCAATCTGTCTATTTTTCAGTTGAGCATTTCCCTGTGTATCTGTTGAAGGAACAACAATCAAATTAGCATAAAACTTATGTTGTCTGTTCTACTTAGGTATTATAGAATGACTTATTTTTCTGTGGTGTACCCATGAAGGTTGCTAGGAACACCAACTGAGCAGCAGTGGCCTGGAGTGAGTTCTCTGCGAGATTGGCATGTGTATCCACAATGGGAGCCTCAGAGTTTGGCTCGTGCTGTCCCAACTCTGGGTCCAGATGGTGTGGACCTTCTAACGGTAATTTCTGCTTTCTGTAAGATTTTTGAGTAACTTTCTCAAGTTAAAATCTTTGGGAGCGTGTAAGGTGATGTTAACACCTAATACAACCAAAAACTCTTTTTGAATTGCACTGGATATGTGGGAATAACCAAACATGCATTTTGAGTTATACTTGGTGTTTAGTTGTCCTGGGTATGTGAAAACAACCAAGCATACATTTTGGGTTGTACTCGGTGTTTAATTGTCCGAAGTATGTGGGAACAACCAAACATACATTTAGATTGTACCCGGTGTTATTGTCTCAAGTATGTAGGAACAACCAAGTATGCAATTTGAGTTGTACCCCGGTGTTTAACTGCCTTGGGTATATGGGAACATCCAATCATACATTTTGAGTTGTACCCTCTGTTGTAAAAATCGGTCTAGGCGCCCCTAGACCGTGGCGATTTCTCCCTAGGCGCCCGCCTAGGCAACTGGCTGACTCGGCTGCCTAGGTAGCCTAACTCGATTAAATTCGGCTGAGTTAATTCGTCCATTTCGATCGAGTTAGCTGAGTTAACCCGGCCGGCTCGGCCTTATTAATTTTATTCATTATATATATATATATATATATATATATATATATATATATACACACACACACACACACACACACACACACACCGTCTAGGCGCTACTCTATCGCCTAGCACCTATTGCAACCATGGTTGTAACTGGTGTTTAATTGTCCTAGATATGTGGGAACAACTAAGCATACATTTTGAGTTGTACCCAGTGTTTAATTGTGGGAACAACCAAGCATGCATTTTGAGTTGTATGCAGTGTTTTATCTGACAATTTATTCCTTGGATAATTAGGATGATAGTCTTCCTTTTACTAAAACAATTGCATTGTTTTTGACATACAGAACATGCTGAAATATGATCCAGCTGATAGGATATCAGCAAAAGCTGCTCTTGATCATCCCTACTTTGATAGCTTGGACAAGTCTCAGTTCTGAAGCCCATTTGATTTCAGTCTTTGTTACAAAAGGATGTCATCAACTTGGTGAATATATCTTTCATTCATGTAACAGTTTGGAAGCCTATCACATCTCACATTATATCTATTAGTGTTTCTATTTTCAAAGCAAGTGTGTATACCATCCACCTTTTATCTCTGGAGTATATATACATTTCATGTTTTTGCCCTGGTGGCTTTGGTAAGCAACTTGAGATGATTATATATTTATTTATATGGTAATGGTGCCAACTTATATACAATTAGTGTACATTACCCACATCTTGTGATGGTCCTATTTTCATGTGAAAAATGTTCTTTTAGTACAAAAAATCATTTGATTTTATCTTTATATAAAATAGTAATTTCAGTTATTAATGTGATTATTATTTTGATTCTTCAATTTTTCATAAGGTGGTGATTTTAGTAAAGGACCAATGAAGTTTGTTAATGTCTTGTTATTTGTGTGTTATACAGATAAAACTTGTTAGTTAATATACAATCAAAATCATTAAAAAATTGGAGGGTCAAGAATAATTATATTAATATTTGATGAACTAAAATGCATCAATTTGCATTCTCTGGATCTCCTACCCACGTTTTTGTGTAATTTTTTCCTCTCAACATTTTTCAATTCCGATTTGTGGAATTTCGGATAATTAGTAAAATCGCAGACGAATGCTGCAGAAAACACATCGGAGATCGAAGAGGGTGAAAAACACAGAGAAAGAGAAGAAGAAGAAGAGAAATTATAATTATAATATTAATATTAATTATTGGTTTAGGTGATGGAAGGATTAGAAATTGATGGAATAATCGAGAGATTATTGGAAGGGAGGAAATGCAGAGGGAAGAAGATTCATCTTGCGGAATCTGAGATTCGTCAACTATGCATGGTCGCCAGGGATGTGTTCCTCACCCAACCTAACCTCTTAGAACTCGAAGCCCCCATTAATGTTTGCGGTGGAACCCTAAATTAAAGATTTATGAATTTGATTGTTTTGTTGTTTTTTTTGGTGTTTTTGTGGTATTTGTGTAACGATAATGAGCGTCAGTTGATTTGATGCAGCAGGCGACATACACGGCCAGTATCCGGATCTTCTACGGCTGTTCGAATCCGGCGGGTTTCCGCCGGATTCCAACTACCTCTTCCTCGGCGACTACGTGGACAGAGGGAAGCAGAGCGTGGAGACGATCTGCCTTCTCCTCTGCTACAAAATAAAGTTTCCCGACAACTTCTTCATCCTCCGAGGTAACCACGAATGCGCGTCCATCAACCGGATCTACGGTTTCTACGACGAGTGCAAGCGGCGCTACAGCGTCCGCCTCTGGAAGACGTTCACCGAGTGCTTCAACTGTCTCCCGGTGTCCGCCGTGATCGACGACAAGATCATTTGCATGCACGGCGGGTTGTCGCCGGAGATGGAGAGCTTGGACCAGATAAGAGCCATCCAGCGCCCCATGGACGTGCCGGATCAGGGGCTGCTCTGTGATCTTCTGTGGTCCGACCCGGAAAGAGAGACGAAGGGGTGGGGTGACAATGATAGAGGCGTTTCCTACACCTTCGGCTCTGACAAGGTTGAGGAGTTCTTGAGGAAGCACGATCTTGATCTCATTTGCCGCGCCCACCAGGTTTCATCATCACAAAATGCAATGCTAATTTCATCTCTATCAATTTTTATCTATGCATTCTATACTATGATTGTCTCCACGTTAGAGTTGTGAAACATCCTTAAGTTTAGTGTTCAAGAAACTCTATTAGTTGCCCACAAAAGACAAAATTCCCTTACCCCGAGTTCGACAACCCAGCCCAACAAGATAATAGAACCATCGACAACTCAGCCCAACAAGATAATGGAACCGTAAATTACAATGGCTCAACCGTTCATTAGGTGGGAGGACCAGTGTGGCAGTGCGTGCCCACCACACATTGGGTGTAACTGGTTCACTAAGGAGATGACCACAATCTACTGGCAAATTATACCATGGACCATGGTCTACCTTGCATTGTAAATCTTGGTTCAAAAATAACCTTCAGATTTTGTATCTATAGTGGGCACATTTTGTACCTGTAGCTATTATATTATGTGTCAGCAATTATGAGGTTATTTGTTTAACGGTAGATACAGAATGTATTAATTGAATGTACAGAATTTTTGTATTAGGATTTACATACAATCCATGGTATAACAATTGCAATCTACCACCCAAGAAACCACTTACTGCCTGTGCGGGCAAGAACCTCTATCCCTAACTGAGTTATTTGGGTTAAAATTGCAATGATTTGAAATAAACTAAGCATGACTTTGCTCACTTTCCATAGTCAAAGAGCTAAAATGTCATGCTTTTGGATGACAAAGGAAACTCATAGTCACTATTTAATGGTGTGCATTGAGTAAATACTGTCTTGTAAGTTGTAATCATAATCAGCAAAGGATAACAATAAGATAAACCAATCTAGGTTATTATTTTATATGATTATGTAACAAGCAGCATAATGGCAATGGCAGGTGGTTGAAGATGGGTATGAATTCTTTGCAGACAGGCAGCTGGTGACCATATTCTCGGCACCAAACTACTGCGGAGAATTCAACAACGCAGGCGCTCTCATGAATGTGGATGCCACTCTCCTCTGCTCTTTCCAGATCATCAAACCTCATAGAGCCAAACCTGTGTTTCTAGACTAACTGAACTACATATATTATATATTCTTGACACCTACTGTTCATTGTCAACCTTTGAACAAATTAATCTCTCAATGTTGTGTTGTTGCTCACAGCTCGATCTGTCTCAGCCTTGTATATAGCTAGCCTGCATGCATGTTCAACCAATGCTTTAGAGTTGTATACATGCATGCATGCATGCAATCAAAGCATATATGTTCTATTTAGGTCGTTGTAGAAGCATTTACTTTTTAATCTCGTCACAATTTTGTACTTGTATACTAAGATACACTTGTATGATCCAGTTTGTACAAGAAAAACTATATTCGCGATAAATGTCATACTTTTCTATATGATTCGCGAATTATTTATGTTGGTTTAATTTTATGACTTTGTAGTTAAAGGATCGGCCAATTTAAATTTTATTAATCCGTTGAGGTAACCCTAACCAAGTTGATTAGTCACTAATTTATTACCTTTTTACGTTCTTTTACTGCTAAAATCATAAGATAGAGTTAATATAATGTGCACTTTTGAGTGCAAATTTTCGTTGTCACCCAAATTAATCAATCAGTTGAGCAGCTGAAGTCAACTTACAATGTCGCAAGAACATGTTCCAAACGTTACGCTGGATTGGTTGGACGTACACATCACAGACGTGATTTTCTAATAATTAACGAAACGAAGCAAAGCGTAACAAACCAAAGATATCAGTCATATGACACGTCAAAGTTGCGATCTGTGAATAATGCAACACAAGTGACTAGCTGGCTAGCTAATAAGGCTGCCGAATTACTGCCGACTTTATAGCAGGAAAGAAACGCACATGCATTGATGAATCTGTAATATCGCCATGCCAATCGTATAGATATATCAATGATTTAAATCATTACCCGCATGGACAGCTTAATTGGTCGGTGAAACTTTGGAAGAATGACCAACAACCTCTCAAAGTGAGAAGGGTTTTTTATGCGCAGTGAGCACAGGTCTAACCTCTGTGGTTCATGTTCAGTTGAGTTACCCTGATTTACATCCTCCTAAATGCTCTGTCGGGTTGGGGTGTAGGGGCCCTTTGGATTGGGATGAGGATTGGAGTTCAGCCTTTTAGAAGAATGATTTAAATCATTTATATAGATATATCAATGATTTAAATCATTTATACGCTTATCTGATTCAACATAAAAAATTTAAGTTCAAACTCACATATTTAATACAAATTTCATATATTTAATACAAATTGTTGTTAATATTAGTTCTTACATAAATAATGATGACAAACACGACAATTATATATACGGAGTATATATATATATATATATATATATATATATATATATATATATATTAGACCAACAAGACATGATATATGAATTATTGCCCGCATGGACATCTTAGTTAGTTACATGGGTAAAGTAGAAATAATGATCTAAAACTGAGTCTTACTCACGACAGTGTAAGAATAACTTTTCTAAGTGAGGGGGACTCCTTGTGCGCAGTAAGCAAAAATCTAGCCTCTGTGTTCAATTGCGTTACCATAATTTACATTCTTTCAAATGCTCTGGTTGGAACGTGGGGACCCTTGGAGTTGGAATTCAACCTTTGAAAACAATGATATACGAATTGTCAAGTTGTAACTCTAAGAGTCGAGATCTACCTTGCCAAGGACAATTACATAGGACCTAACACCCGACACTTGTTTGAGAAGTGAGAACATGTATGTGCATAGAACTTGATGCGTGCTTTGTATTTGGTAGATGATTGACACAAGAGATTTGACACCTAACACCTAGTTAATTAAGGACAAACATAGAGGATTGGCACTTAGCATTTAATCAAGAACATACATAAAATTTGATGCCTTTAACCAAAAATAAATTTAAAGAAACTCAACAAGAACATGTGCCAAAAGTCATATAACCGTGTTTAGTTTAGTTCCCTATTCTAATATTATCGAACCATTATTATAAAAATAATTTGATACAAATGAAATGAACCAACCCAAAAATGAGATAGAAATAAATATATAGCTTTCTACAATGATTTTTTTTTTTTTTTTTTTTTTTTGGATATGTATTAGCGTACAGGTTAATATGAAGTAGATAACGACGCCATTAACAAGAACGCATCACCTTCCCAGTTCCCACCTGCTCGTCAAACTCGAGTTTACAATAATTGGTTACTCCAAGCAAGTTAAACTGACAGCAAACATTTAAAAACAATTTGTACTGAATTCTTGTTTGGGTAATCAAAGCCTTCTTGCACGTCATCCATGAAACTATCCCTTTCAATGCTGACAATATGCCATAAGTCACGAACCACATTACAATTTGTATTTATTTATTTATTTTTGTTGACCAAAAAAATCACAACTGCTAGCTGATCAGTTCAAATTAAAAAGACTAAATTGTAATGGGTGAGGTTTAATAATTTGCTATAAGTATTATGTCGCTTAACACTTAATAGGAAGGGTTGTTTACTTCGCCGGCGCCGACGCAGCTGCCGGAGCTCGCCGTGAATGGAAGAGGAAGCACGGAGAGAGACCCCAGTAATGGATACGAGGAAAGAACCTTCGACGAAACCGAAGATGCGGTGGAGAGGAAGAAACATATGTGTGGTCATTACAGTTGCCGTTGTTTTGCTGGCCGTGATCGCCGTCGTGGTCGGCGTCACCCTTTTCAAAGCCAAGCACGCCGTCACCACCTTCGACTCCGTCAATCTCCGGGACTTGGATCTCTCCATCGACGCCCCCCGCCTGGCCGTCCACGTCAACCTCACCGTCGACGCCCGCGTCTCCGTCACCAATCCTAACAGGGTCGGCTTCAAGTACGACAGCACCTCCGTCTTGCTCAGGTACCGGGGACAGAACATCGGCGACGCCCCGATTTTCGCCGGAGAAATTGGCGCTCGCGAGACCACTTCCATGAACGTTACCGTCACCATCACCGGCGACCGCCTCCTGACCAGTTCTCAGTTCTTCTCCGACGTCATCTCCGGTGTAGTGCCGCTGTCCACTTACATGAGACTCACCGGAAAAGTTCACATATTGTTCAAAATTCACGTCAAATCAGTCACCACTTGCGACTTGTTCATCGATATCGCCAACACCACCCTCACTAAGCAATCCTGCAAATTCCATACCAATATATAGGCACCCAATTCTTAATATTTTGTACGTCATAATGTATTCAAATTTGGTTCTTAATGTTTGGTTTTGTCTCTATGTTAGAGTTTTTATTTATTTATTTATTTATTTATTTTTTAAATAACAAATTAGAGATTAAATGCGCCAATTATATGAAATTAGATTGAATAAGTATCTCAAATAATTAAAAGACAAATTAAATTCAATTAGAAGTCTTGGATTTGTCACCGTGGCTGTGGACTGTGCTTGGCAAGAGCCCATGAATAGCACATGATATGATAATGTCCAATAGTTATGCTCTGCAACCGAATGCACCATGCGCATGGTACATACGATGCAAAACGACGTCGTTTTGACTAAAAACGCGTGTCCCACTTTAAAAAAAAATTCAGGTTCGATTCTCAGCAATAGCATAATTGTGGATATATAGTTATGAATTTGTGGATATATAGTTATGAATTTATGGATATTTAGTTCATTCATTGTGGATATTTAGTTCATTCATTGTAGATATTTACTTCATTCATTCACTGTGGATATATAGTTATAAATTTCTGGATATATATTTATGAATTTATGGATATTTAGTTCATTCATTGTGGATATTTAGTTCATTCATTGTAGATATTTACTTCATTCATTCACTGTGGATATTTAGTTCATTCATTGTGGATTTTTACTTCATTCATTCACTGTGGATATATAGTTATGAATTTGTGGATATATAGTTATGAATTTATGGATATAAAAAAAATGTTATTGCCGGGAATCGAACCTGATTTCTTCTTTAAGTGGGACGCGCGTTTTTAACCAAAACGACGTCGTTCTGGATCGAATGCACCATGCGCATGGTGCATTCGGTTGCACAGCATAATTTGCGGATAATGTCGGTGTTGAAGAGATGTACTATGAGCAACAAAGCTTGAATAAAATTATACGAAGAGATCTTGCACAGCATAATTTCGTCTAATTTGTAGGTTTTTCAAGTTTCTAATCGGCCACCTATTTTAAAATATTTTTAAAAATAATTATTTAAAAAAAAAAACAGCATCTCATGGATTCGTCTCCGTCCCCTCTCTCATCTTCTTCATCATATCCTCACCGGAATATGTCGCGCATGGTGCATTCGGTTGCACAACATAATTTGCGGATAATGTCGGTGTTGAAGAGATGTACTATGAGCAACAAAGCTTGAATAAAATTATACGAAGAGATCTTGCACAGCATAATTTCGTCTAATTTGTAGGTTTTTCAAGTTTCTAATCGGCCACCTATTTTAAAATATTTTTAAAAATAATTATTAAAAAAAAAAAAAAAAACAGCATCTCATGGATTCGTCTCCGTCCCCTCTCTCATCTTCTTCATCATATCCTCACCGGAATATGTCTGCAGATCTAGACCTCCAGCGAGACCTTCTAGAAACCAACTGCCAAGACCAAAGATTAGACCCACAGGTGTCAATGGTGTTGGGATTTGATATACTATATCAACTTGGTTAGAAAGCAACAATGTTGTACGTGAGGTACTTACACTGAACAAAATGAAGGATTCAGTGTCGTGTTTGTAACACTACCTTAAAAGCATTTGCGACCAGGGTATCGCATGCTCTCGACAGCACAAAAGGCTATAGGAACTGCAAATCAGTGTCTCTGCGTACGAATATCAAGATGAAGGGGAAGGCAATTACAACGCAAGTAGTTTTCCCTTGTTCCCCTTCATAACACTTCAAGCTTTCTCTAAGGTGTTGGAGTGTATAAGGAGGGAAAGGAAGGGTTATACAAGCAATGTGGGACAACTTGGGTAAAGACAACTCACTAAATGCCTTTTCCCTTTAATGCTCCCAACAAATGGCTCTGCTGAAACCCGCGAAATTCAAGGCTTACAAGTAAGGTAGATCAAGAAGAAGAAAAAAGGAGGGTGCTGGATGCCGAGATTGCAACATTGATTCCGCAAACTCCGACGACATTTCCATCAACAAACATAGAACGATCGCTGGTCACCTTTGAATCAACAGAGAAGGCAACCCCAGTGAGAAGGCAACTAGGTTGCCTTCACCGATGAGAAGGCCACTGGGTTGCCTTCACTAGAGAAAATCTCATCGCAGACAAATACTTAAAAAGCTGAATAAATACCTAATTGTACTTGGACAAATTAAAAGAGTAACTTAATCAAGTATTCTAATGTGATTTCCTGGA